GGCAAAGACAGCGCGGGTGTCGACGGTACGAGTGTAGACAGTGCAGGTGAGAAGAAGTGCAGGTGAGAAGAAGTGCAGGTGAGGGCTGGAGAGTGGAGAGCTGACCCACAAACAGCTGTGGGAAGGTGGTGGGGACAGTTCCATCAGGAGCTGTCAAAGGTTGTGGCACGTGAACGGGGTACCTGCATGCCACCCTCTTTGCCTGGAATATGGGGAGGGAAGTCAGGGCGGCCACAACGGGTAAAACAGAGAGGATGCCATCAGGCCTCACGAGCCTGTCTGCGGTGCCCACGCAAAAGCAGAACTGAAGGCGGAGGGCTGTGAGCAAAAGGTAAATAAGGTAATGGGGAAACGATGCCGTCAGAGCGACCCCAACACCCACAGCCCTAACACAAACAAGTCGGTCAGCAGTCTCCGAACCAGGGCCAGAGCCGACACCGGGCCACGGGGCCAGCGGCTGCGCTCGTCTGAGTCCCCCGTAGGCCAGGCTTGTGCTCGCTGCTGTTCCAAGGCTCTTCGGTGCCACCAGACCAAACAACACAGCAAACGAGAAGGTGGTGCAGAGCGAGCTCTGGGAACGGGGCCCAGGGATGGCAATTACTGGGAGGTGGGGGATCCCCGGCTCCCGCCCCCAGGAGCAAGCGTTGCCCTGGCATGCTGGGTGCTCCAAAGCACCACCACTGTCTTGTGATTGCTCTCGGGCCCATGTCGCCTCTGTGCCAGGATCTGAGTCCCAACCCAGAGGCAAGAAACAGGGACCTCCCCACCCCCCACCCACACACAAGCCACAGAGCTCTAGCTGCAGATAGGAAACTGTAAAGGCCACACCCCAAAGAAGCCCCTCTGCCATTGCTTTTGGTTCCAGAAGTCCTTGACAGGTGTGAGGGGCACCCCCACCATGGAAAAGCAAAGATCTGACAGATTTGGAGTCAAGGGCACCAGCGCCAGCCCTCCACTCTGGGCCCGAGGAGAGGAAGGAGTATGCACCAAGGCCGTGGGCAACTGCACATGCACCCATCGAGCCACACTAGGGCCAGCTGTTGTCATGACCCTGTGCCAGTCACTTCAGCCACCTCTGGGAGAGGCTGCCCACTCCCCGACACAGCACCAAAGGACAGAGCACTCCCAGGACTCAGGGGAGCCACGGTCAAAGGACACATGCCGAAATCAGAAGGAAAAGCCGGTGGAGCTCGGGAGACCACGGAGAAGCTTCCAGAACCCCCTCCCTGAGCTAACTCCCCCAGAATGAGCCGAGGCTACATGTGAAATGCTGTCTACTGGGAGGCTCGCCAGAAGCCCAGCGCCCAGGGCTTTTGCTGGGGGCTGGTCACGTAGGCAGCCCTGGCTGGAGAGCACCCCAATTCCAGACTCTGCTCAGCATAAACCATGTTGTTTGCACCAACAGTTTAGGCCCTGAGAGCCCCTACCAGGGAATGGCGAAGCCCTGAAATCCCAGTTCCCAGACCGCAGCAAGGCCAGCCTTGCCAGGAGGCCCCTCTGGGATGGAGGCCTCTCCTGCCCCGGCGTATGAGCCGTTCTGCACATGACCCAGGGCAGGCCCGCGGCCAGGAGACAGTGCTCGGACCACTGCACCTCGCTGAGCCCCCGCGGCCACTCTGGAGCCCGAAGGGGAGAGCCAGCAGGCCACGAGGCCTAAGAGGCTGCACGTGCTCCAAGCCCACCTGGCTGTACGCTGAGCGAGCAGCAGGAGTGGCTTCCACGAACCCCCTCTCACCTTCCACGTTATTGTAGAAGTGACAGGAACGACTGGCCACCTTTTTCCGGCACAAGTGGATCTGGGAAAAAGAGGGAGCAGGCCCGGCGGGCACATGGTCAAGAAAGGACAGCGCACCGGGCCAGCCAGGGAGCACCCTGCCCGATGTGTGGAGAGCGAGTCCTGTCCCAGCCCTGCCCCCACCAGCTCTTCACCGGGCTGTCCCGCGGGGGCACAGCCGAAGGAAAGAGCCACCCCAGGAGCCCACCTGCATGTGGTTACTCTCCTGCTTCTTCACCTCAGGGTGGATACACAGCTGCTCCCGGGAACCCAGCACACATACCCTGGGCCTGGCAGAAGAGAGAGCCGTGGGGTCCAAGAACCAGAGGGCACCAGCCCCCAGCGCCATCCGGCAGCAAGAGCATGCGCTGCGGGGGGCACAGTGGGAGACAGAACTCACAAGAGGGAGTGGCTGGGGCCAGAACGGACCCCAGGCTTGGGCGGCACTCTCTCTGCTGAATCGCCCAGAGTGAGCAAGGAGACAAGGCAGGGGAAGCGGGGCAGACGGAGGAGACCCCACCTACTCTGTGCTCCCCCACCCAGGAGGCTGGGGCAGGACGCCAGGACCCCCGCAGCTGTGCAGGGCTCCGACAGAGGCAGGGCCGCCCCCTTCACGCGCCTGCCACGGTGACCCGCGCCCGCAGCTGACACCACACTGCTTTCCAGGACCTCAGGCTGCCGCTAACCCAGCCGCTTTCTCATAAGCAGTGGGCAGCAGGGTCAGCCTGGCCCGCACACAGCCCTGGACGCGGAGCAGACAGTACCCTCCGGGCAGAGTCCAGGCAGAATGCCACCATCAACCACCTGGCCAAGGCCAACCCCCCGTAACTCCGAGGCAGGGGTGAGTGCCGCCTGGCCCTACCGGTAGGAGGTGCTCCGAAGCTCGCTGATGACCTGAGTGAGCTGCGAGTGGGTCCTGGAGGCATAAATGATCTTTGGGACGTCCGAGTAGCAGGCTGCCCAGACACAAGGAAGCAGGGCAGGTCACAGTTCCGGCAGACAATGTTCTCGCAGGCTGTTAACCCAAGGGCACGTGGCCAACTCGACCCTGCGCACCTAGCCCCAGGAACGAGCTATGTGGCTAGCCGCGGCGTTCTAGTGTGAACACGTGGCTCTGACCTGAGGCTCACGGCCAGATGCTGGGAAAGAACGGAGCAGCCTCACCAGCCCACTCTGTCCCTGCGTTTCTTCTCTACGGAGCCCCAGAGGGGCCGAGAGGAGCCTCACCTGTGCTGTCTCCATCGGAAGCGGCAGCTCCCCAGGACAAGGTGTGATCGACAAAAAGCCCCCCCTGCGCCCTCTCGGCGATCTTGTGGGCAGAGATGGTGTCACGGAGGTGCTCCCGCCAGGCCAGCGTGGTGCAGAGGAGGCACAGTGTCTTCCCTGTGCCTGTGGGGCTCTCCAGGATGCCATTCACTTTCTGAACGGGGTCAGGAACAAGGTCACGGGGAAGCAGAGAGAGGCAGTGCAGACCACACCGCCCACCTGACACTGGTCTGGGGCAGTTCTGTCCAGGCAGAGCCCACCCAGCAGGTGGCGAAAGGCCTGGGGAACAGTGGACAACTGGACAGTGCTTCCACTCTCAAACCAAAAGCCAAAAGCTACCGGGTTAATTCAGCCCTCATTAACAAACAGCTTGCAGAACATCACCTAAAGTATTTTTCCGCGTAACATAAGTAGTAAAGTGACTAATTAGGTTCCAAGTCTCAAGACAGAAGACTGTTCTGCGACTTTGCATGCAGACATTCGCACTGTCTGAACAGAACCTGACGACCTATGTAGACCTGCATGCACAGGCGGGAGCCCGAGCCGCAAACCCTGAGACACACAAAGGCACATCAGCAAAGCTGTGCCCCTCGCTCCCGGGACTGGGCACCAGGCTCCTCACTGCAGGAGTCCGTGTCCAGAACAGCAGTCAGGAGCCCCTCAGGGGCTGGGAGCTTCAGGAGGGTGTGAGAGAGCCTACCAAGAAAGCCAGCAGGAAGCAGCCCGCACCCCCCCCCCACCAACTTTCTTGCACACCCCTGGGGTTTGAAGACCTTCCAAAATGACAGTTGGGCACTGACTATCCCTCCATGTGGAAATACCTCCCCCGGATCCTCAAGTGGGCCTCAGGGTGCTCCCAAGCCTATGACCTCACGACTATCCTTAGGAGCGAAAAGTGTCTTTTTCCGCCTACTTCCCTATCATCTTTCCTAGAACCCCAGCCCCATTTATGACTGAGTCCTGTATCCAGAGGGAGACCTCATTCCCAGCAGGGCCCAGCAGGAGTGAACAGGAAGGTGGACCCACTCCCAGGGCACAAAGCCCCCCATCTGCAGCTGTACCTTCTGCAGACACTCCAGGACCTTGCTCATGTACTCCTCCTGGCATTTGTACGGCTGGAAGGGGAAGTCCACTGTCACGCCATTCAGGGCTATCTTGGGCATACTGGCCTGTTCTCAGGAAGGCACTGAGGCTGGCTGATAAGCAGGCTGTGAGACAAAACCCCTCTGAACATCTCAGGATCTCCGCCACTGCGGGTAAGTGATGCCAGCCAGCGGCGCTGGGACGTGACCCTGCTCCCAGCAGGAAGCCCTATGGCAGAGACGGCAAGACTGCTTATAGCAGGCCTTTCTGGAGTGCCAAGCCACCTCACCCATCGATGGGGCAGGCCCTCCCCGCCCCCTGCAAGGTCGAAGGCAAGCCTGTGATGTCCTATCATAAGGAGCTCGGGAAGATGAGGAACCTACACGTCAGCCCTGCCTCGTTCTCCCGCCCCGCGCAGCTGGGTCCTGCTCGGGGAGAGTCGGCCAGACCCACAGAAACAACGACAGCCGGAGCCCGGGTGCAGTCCCACAAGCTCCGCCTGCAGTAATTTCACTTAGTGCCAGCGGAGCTGGAGAGGCCAGACCCCCAGCTTGGGCCGGCCTCAACGTCCAGTACCAGTTTCGCCTGGACACTGGGGCTAACGGACAGTTCACGTAAACACCGAATGACGGCCCTCCCTGCAGAGCCCGGCCCGCAGGGGAACCACCGCCCGGGAATCGGCTCCGCGCGGCGCGGGGCGCAGGCCACGAGAACAGGAAAACTACCGGCCCCAGAAGGCCGCGCGGCAGAATGGCCGACGCGCGGGCGCAAAGTGGCGCGGGGCCTGCCGGGAGCTGCAGTTTCGGGAGGCGCCGCTCGGGTAAAAGTATCTGTTCCAGGGTCTGTGCGATTCACGGCCCAACGTGTGTCCGCGGGGAGCCTTGCACGACCCGGGGTCCCCAGGAATTTACCCCAGTTCACCGAAGCACGACACCGCGTCTCCTCCGCCGTCAGCCGGTTCGGACTTGGCGGGCTGAGGCGCACAATCGTCACTGAACGCGCTGCACTTCCGTCCCTAATTCCGGTCCGCTGCGCGTCGCTCCCCGCGGAAACCGTTCCGCTGCGGAGGGGTCCGCGCGCTCGGTTCCAGGCCCCACCCTGCCCCCGCCGTCGACCCTGAGCCTGGGGAACGGCACCTCCATCGCCCGCAGGCAGAAACCTAGGGTTCCAGCCGTCTCCTCCCTCGATGCTTTCCCCACCAGAGCCTGCATTCCATCACTCCTCCCTGGGCTGAGCCACCTGGATTGTCCAGACAATTGCACAAACCTTCGGATTGGTTAGCTGTGATCCCTCCTCCCCTTTTCTCCCCAAGGGCTGCTCGGGCCTGGAGACCCTCAGCGGACTTTGTAGCCAATGTTCCCCCCGACTGGTGAGGGAAGACCCCCCTGACTCCCCAGCACCTAGCACCGGCTGGCAGTCAGCAGTGGGACCAAGGGGTCTGCACAGCTCTGTAGGCTGTAGGTATTTGTAGATGACCCCAGCCTGTCCCAAAAGGCACCAGCTAGCTGCCAATGCTGACATCAGAGTTTCTCATGGGCTCTGTTTAATGCCTAGATGTGTGACATCGTGCTTAGAGAAGCACATGGACCACTGGCATCCACCCCCCCCCACCTGTCCCACCTGTGAGGGAGTGTGCAGTGTTTGTCTTAGACTCTCAGCTAGAGATTGGAGAAGATGAGGAGACCTGGCCACACACTTGCTGAGTACTCACTCCAAACAGATTTCACTACCATCCACGCAGGCATTGACATGTTTGTCTTCCTAATGGCCTCTGAGATAAGTTCTTTTATTATCCACACTTCACAAAGAACATGCTAGGTGGTGAGCAGATCGCCCAAAGCCAGCAGCTAGCAAGTCTCAGAGCCAGGAGTCCTCCTCTTCAGGTCCACACACCCCTGTCTTCTAAAAGCAGAGGTGTTGGTGCTTCCAGAAGTCCAAGGAAGGTAGGGCAGGGCCCAGAGACTCGAGCCCCCTGGGCAGGACTGGAGCTGAGGACTCTGAGACCCTGAGTTGATGCATGAGCTGCCTGGTCACAAACCACACATGGGGACTGCCAGGCCTCCTACAAATTATAACCTACAAATTCCGTGTACTGAACTTAGCCACGAAAGATGAGAGGGAATGGACACCAAGGCTGAAGGATGACCATAGCCAGCCCCGCCCAGCAGGCACAGAGGTCTTGATCAAGTCAACAAATTTGAGTTGAGCCTGCTGTTACGGGCTTTGTGAGATACCCATGTGGGTCAGACACTATGTGGAACACAAGACAGATGTTAACACACTCGCTGTGTGTGTATCTCAAGGTGTGTTTTGTATACATGCTTGCTGGGCCTGCTCCAGGCTGACTCTGACCCTTAGGTTTGTTCCTGTCAGTTCCCTTTCTGAGCCTACCTCACCCCTGTGCAGGCTCCTGAGATTCCCCAGTTTTATTCCTGTACTTAGCTGTGTGTGCCTACCTGACCGCTGTGCGGGCCCTGAGATTTCCCACAGTTTTATTCCTGGACTTAGCTGCTTGTGGAGCAAGCACTTCTCCAGGCCTCGGTGGCTCTGTCCCTAAAATGGGAGTGACACTCCATCTCTCTGACTTCCCAGCCCCAAAGGGAGGAGAGATGGTCACTTCAAGAAAGGACCCACCATCTCTGCCAGGCTCTCCCTTTGGGGTACCAACCAGAACCCTAAGCCCAGAGGAGGAGGGGAGGCATGACCCCCACGCACTCACCAAGGGTGTACCCTCTTCTCCTCCATCATCTGGAGACTGCCATTATTTTTTATCTTACACTTGAGAAATGGAGGCACAGGAAGTCAGAAACTTGCCCCAGTCACCAAGCAAGTGGGTGTCAGAGCTGGGGTTGGAACGCATCTCTGTCTTCCTTCAAAGCCCTTGTTCTAGGCCTCACCATCCCCATTTGCCCTCTTTTCTGCCTCAGAATCAGCTCATCCTCTGGGATGCTCCTTGGAGGCCTTCCGGACCAATCCCCACCCCCACTGTCTA